AATGAAGGCGAGAGTCAGCGTGCAAATGGGGCAACTGGCGGGTGCAGTGGGGTCATATCAAAAGACAAACATCGTTGCGCTCCAGTTCTCTTCCCAGCGAGTGCAAACAGCTGCCTGAGACTGAGGGGTGGGGTGAGGTGAGAGAGACGCCCGCTGCCACACTGGAGCGGTGACTCTCTGAATCCTGTGTACACTCTTGGACTCCTTCAGCCGGTACCACAAAATCAGCTCTGTCCTCTCCTTACCAGGGAGCATGGGGCAGAACAGACCCTGAGGGTGGCTGAGCTCCCAACCACAGGTGGGGAAACTGAGGCATCTGCAAAGCATTGGCAATGCTGAGACACCTGCCAAAGGTGGGAAGTGTCCAAGTGCAGTGCACAGGGGGAGGGGAGGGAGAGGGCAGAGGTAGCTGCTGCCAGGAGGGAGGGGGAATTTCTTACCCCAGTCTATGGCTGCCTGATGGTCTGTAGCAACGTGAAAGACCCCAAGCAGGTGGGGAAGGTGCCCCTGCTATGTGATGTGCGGAGAGGTCAGTACAATTCCTCCTCCCCCTCGGGAATCTGGGGTGGTGGTGCAGGGCCACAGACCCTGATCTCTGGGGAGCGGGACACAGAAGGAATTTGGCTCTGGACAAGGGATAAGGGGTTGCCCTGGGATCCCTACTCTGTTGAAAGTAGTGTGTGGCTGAGAGCCGCTTTACAGGGAGCTGGACATAGTGTCTCAAGGACAGGATTGCAATGGCAAACTATCACTTTAAAAGTGGGGGCAGGGGAGTTTGTGGGGTTTCCTGGTCCTGCTGGCAGTCTAAGGAGCTCTGCAGGGAAGCGTGGGACCAGAGGCAGTTTGTAATGAAGCAGCCTAGAACAAGGTGGGCTGAGTTGTCTCTTGTTGACCTAGTGAGCAGCCTGTTTTGTCTCCTCCTTGTTTGTGGTTCTTGTGTGTGATCGTTCTGGATCCCCAGAAACACCTTATGCTGCAACCTTCCAGCAGGAGCATTTCTGGTTTGTCTCTGACTTCTCCGGGTGGATGACACAAACACACCAGCCACGAAGGGGTCAGGGTTTTGGCTACCTCAAAACTGAGGATACCCCCACCCTGTTGACTGGCTCATGCATGTCCAATCTCTGTTCTGATCTTATTTCAGCCTGTCTGTGATAAATCCCCTGGCCAGAGATTTGGCTGCATCAGAGACCCCAGTGCCGATCTACTGCTTCCCCATCACCATGGAGGCTTCTCTTGCCTTCTGCATCCTCGCTGCTCTCCTGGCTACAGGTGAGTTGGGTCTATTCCTACAGGGGCTGATTTCCTAACTTCTCCAATGTACCAACAGCTCAGAGCTGCCTGTCGAGTAAAACTGTTAACAAACGTAACCGAAAAGCAGCCGCAGAATAACGGGGGCTGAGTTGGGGGCGTCCGAGTGACAGCGTCCGAGGAGGAGAGGGCTGGAAGTTGCAAAGTCCTGTGACAGCGAGTGAAACAATTGTGGAAATGGGAGGAAATATTTACAGTTTAAATCACTAGAATCGTGTCGTGACTGGGCACGTTTCAGAGCTGGCCAGCGGCCAAGGGCATTTCGAACAGGGATTGTCTATTGTGTGACAGGCAGCGGGTCTGAATATCAGTAGCAGGAGCTCAAGGCTATTTGAACCGCATTTATATGTGATCCCCAGCCGGTGTCAGGGGGGGCCTAGCTTGACTGGAGTCAGGGGGGCCAGGGCCCAGCCGGTGTCAGGGGGCCCTAGCTTGACTGGAGTCAGGGGGGCCAGGGCCCAGCCAGTGTCAGGGGTCCTAGCTTGACTGGAGTCAGGGGGGCCAGGGCCCAGCCGGTGTCAGGGGGCCCTAGCTTGACTGGAGTCAGGGGGGCCAGGGCCCAGTCGATGTCAGGGGGGCACAGCTGCACTGGAGTCGATGGCAGGTGGGACTCGGCCTTGCACT